GCAGGTGCTACAGGTTAATTGATGCGGCGCAATTAACAGGTACAACCGCTGCCCCCAGGCTGCTCGGCACTGCCCCTCGCGCACTGCCCAGCACGGCCCGGCGGTGCCCGCGGAAGGAGAGGAGAGGAGGGAGCAGGAGAAGGGAGGGCACAGCAGGGGAGAGCTGGGCAGAGCAGGGCAGAGGGCCGGCTCCGCTCGGCTCCGCTCCAGGGGCGGACCCTCCCCGACACCGGCGCGGCGACAGGGAGGCACGGAGGGAGCAGAGCAGGCGGCGGCGGGGCCCGCAGCCCGCGCGTACCGGGGACGGGAGGAGGGGGCGGCGGGAGCGGCGTTACCTGAGCGACCCGAGCCGGAGCGGCCCGACCGACAGCGGCACCCCCGCGCCGCCCTGACAGCTCCCGGCGTGCCCCGCGCCGCGCCCCGCCCCGCGCCGCCGCCCCGCGCCCCCTGGTGGCCGCGGAGGGGCTGCGGGAATGGATACCGATACAGACATGGGTATGGGTGTATATTTATTTTGCCTGATCTTCACATAGCTTACCAAATGCAGTGCAGGTAAACATAGAAGGCAGGTAGTAATTTACAAAATATGCTACAGGTTATCTGGTGAAACTGTGGATGTCCCATCCCTGGAAGTGTTCTAGGCCGGGTTGGATGGGGCCCTGAGCAGCCGTGTCTAGTGGAAGGTGTCCCTGCACATGGCGGGAGGATTGTGAACGAGATGACCTTTAAGGTCACAGAATCACAGAATCAATTAGGCTGGAAAAGACCTCTGAGATATCAAGTCCAGCCCTTGACTGGACACCACCCTGTCAATAGACCATGGCACTGAGTGCCATGTCTGGTCTTTCCTTAGACATCTCAAGGGACAGTGACTCCACCACTTCCCCTGACAGCCCATTCCAATGCCTAATCACCCTTTCTGTGAAGAAATTCCTCTTAATGTCCACACTTAACCTCCCCTGGTGCACCTAAAGACTATGTGTTCTCATCTTGTCAGTACTTGGCTGGGAGAAGAGGCTGACCTGCACTTGATCCCTTCCAACTCAAACTGGTCTGTGATGCTATGATAACTGCTCTGCACGATGTCTATGCTTATGTTTACAGTAGTTGTATTAGGAATTTTCTAAAATTTGTTGGGATTTGTATGCTTGAGTCCATACACAAAGGTGTATGGGTGCCCACATGGACTCTTTCAGAATGAATATTTTACTGCAAGAGTGATTTTCAAATGACCAGTTCCACAGAATAAAGGGTACAGTTCTTAGACTGCAATTTGTTAGTTTCAAAGTCATCATTGCAAATCTCAAATTTCAGCAGGCTTCAAAATAGCAAACAGTTCTTATGCTTATAAATTACTTAAGTAACTGCAAAAAAAAATAAGATGCATCCAGCTTACATGATAAATATTTTACACTTTGTGTGAGCACAAGTATTTCTAAAATATTGCAGGGGAAAATCTCATAATATTTATGAATCTTCTACTTGGTGACTTATGTTTGTCAGCCAACATTTTATGAAGTCTAATTTTACTCTCCAGACTTGGGATAATAATAAAGAGGAAATGCTATTCCTTTTCTCATTAAGCTATACCAGGAATTGGTAGGTGAGAAACAGTTACTTTTTGGAAAGCTGACAATTCCCACTGGTTTTCTGAGGCATTGAGTATGACTCTACATGTCATGTATTTCTAATTAAAATGGTGCATTTAAATTTCTTTTTCTTTGAACAGACCTACAAATGCATTTGACATGTAACTGTAACTACGATTGGTGGTCCTTTTGGAGCGATTTAACAGTGCTGAACATCACTGACAGGAAGGCACTGTCAATAGCTGGCCACGTGCTTTCACATGCTGCTGCACTGCAGAGTGGTTGGATTCCTAAGCTTCCCTTGTGCTGAATTTAGTAGTGGCAGTTCCAGTTCAGAGCTTCCAAACAGTTCTTTGAAATTGTCTCATCAACCTTATGTGCAGTGGCACAAAAAAAAAATCCCACAAAACATTGTATGTTGCTGGGGAGAATATTGAGAACAAGACAGGGGTAGTTGTTTAGCTGCTATATAAAAGGCTGGCACAGTCTCAGATTGATTACTGCATCAGTTCTTGTCTTCATGACTCAAGAGGGATGTAGGGAAGTTGAGAAAGACACAGCAGAGATATGTCGCTGTCGTCTTACAACGAGAGCAATAACAACTGGGACTGCTCGATGCAGAGAGAGAAGGCAGGGGAGAGGACTGATAAAAATCTACAAAATCAACAAAGGTAACAAAGTTGTGGTTAACCAAATCCCACAGTATGAGAATGAGGAAGCACAGGAAATGCTTTTCTGCTAAGCAGATTGTGAACTTCTAGAACGTATTGGCACCAGGGAGTCGGGACTTTGGCAGTATCCATAGGTCCAAGGAGGCGTTATTCATATTGATAACAAACACATCCATAAGCAGACACTGAAGGAATTAGGCAGGGATGTACCTTCCAGCATGCCTAATACAATGAGAGACATTGAGGAAGTGATCACACTATGGAGCTCTTCCTTACTAGGATCTCCTTTTACTGACACTGAAGTCAGAATAATGTTCTGGATGCACCACTAATGCTAGGTGCACTCGCTCTGTAGGATATTTACCTTCCTTTCTATGTAATTATTTCACAGCAGAAAGGGTGAGAAACCTATAATAAATTTTGCATAAATGAAGTTCACACCCTGCAAATTACTTCAGATTGTTCATAACTTTGTAGTCTTGTATAAGTCTTTCTGAAGTCAGGGCCTAAGGCTCTGTTAATAATCCTAGGAGTCAATTCTCCAACAATTACATGGATTTTATGTTTGATGTATGACATACTTGCTCAGAACAATTTAATCCATAATATGTACATTAGTTTGTGAAGTAATTGGAAATAAAAGCCACCAGGTGGACTATGGTCTTTAAAAAAGGAAACAACAACAAAATCCCCAAACAACACACTCAGAACAGCATGCAGACAGCACAGTCTGCATTTTGGAATACTTCAACAAATCCATGCTTTGTAAAAACCAACAACTTGGTTGAGACAGTTGAGTTGACTACTGTCTGCAGTATTTTCCTCACAAAATCTAACCTTGATCCCTCTGCTTCTTTAGGACTCTTCTATTTGGTAGTGATAACTCCAAGGACTAAGAATACTTCAAAGTAAACATGTCTTCTATTTATAGAGTATATAGTAAATTGCTATAAAATTAGCATGTGTAAATTTGCCTTTTGCTTGAAGCTTTGCAGATCATGTTTTCAACTAACTGCAACTGCAGAAGGTCTTGTGACTTTCATTAACAATGCAGGAAGGCTCCTTGTTTCAAAGCAAAAGCTTCTTTCCTTGGTGTCCTTGAATACTGACCATCAGTTTCCTATATACTTTGAAGCTGGCATGCTCAATGAAGTCTGCAGTGGTGACAGTGTTTATAAGCTAAGGACAGTCATGACAGGGGTGTCAGGGTAGGCGTATGGTCTCTTGATAAAAGACCTTATGAGAGGAAGTAAGAAGCCTCACCCCAGAGCAGCAGCTGCTCTGTGCTGAATGTCCAGTTGTTATGAGTGCAATATGACAGCATTCAAGAGCTGGGTGAACATGCATTGGGAGGAATTCAGGCAGACTTGTAAAGTTGCAAGAAAGGGTGGAGAGGGGTTTGTTCACAAGGCAGGAGGTAAGTGGTGGTGCAGTGACACGCCATAGAACACAGTCTCCAGTGCTGACTGGGGAGCCTGACCCTGGCTCAGCAGAGGCCTCTGCTAAGTCTTAACTTTGCAGGTGTGGTGGGGTGACCCCAGCCCGCTGCTAGCTCACTGCTGCACAGGGGGAGAACCAAAAGAGCAAAAGCAAGAAAAGTTGTGGGTTGAGATAATGATGGTTTAGTAAGTGAAGAACAGAGTTAAAAAACCCCACCAGAAACAAAAAACACAAACCCCTCCCAAACCAAACAAATAAAAAACCAAACAAAAACAACCAAACATATAGACAGTCGCTCACCACCTCCCACAACTAGAGCGATGATGCCCAGCCAGTCTCTGAGCAATTGCCACTTTGGAAAGATTATACTCCAGTTTTGACTGCCAAGCATGACATTACATGCTACAGAGTATCACTCTGGTCAATTCAAGTCAGCTGTCCTACCTTTCCCCTGCCGCAGCCTCTTGCCCACCACCAGCCTACTTACTGGGGGCTTCAGAGGGAGACACCAAGGAGGTCTTGGCAGTGCGCAAACAGTTTGGCAATAGCTGTTGAGCAGAAAGGGACTTAGGGTGCTGGTTGACAGGCGGCTCAATATGATCCAGCAGTGTGCTCAGGTGTAACTAGCAGTACTAAGGAAGTGATCACCCCCCTGTACTCGGCACTTGTGAGGCTGCACCTCGAGTACTACATTCAGCTTTGGGCCCCTCACTTAAAAAAGGACATCGAGGTACTGGAGCGTGTCCAAAGAAGGATAGCGAGGGGTCTACAAAACATGTCTTATGAGGAACGGCTGAGGGTTTGTTTAGTCTTGAGGAGGCTCAGGGGGACCTCAACGCTGTCCCCAACTACCTGAAAGGAGGTTGTGGGGGCCAGTCTCTTCTAGTGTGCTTTCTGTGAAAGGACAAGAGGAAATGGCCTTAAGCCGAGACAGGTGAGATCCAGATTAGATCTTAGAAAATTTTTTTTGTGTGTTAGTGTGGCGAGCTACCGGAACAGATTGTCCAGGGAGGTGGTGGCGTTACCATCCCTAGGATTGTTTAAGAGGCATCTGGATCTGGCTCTGGCGAGATGGTTTAGTGGTGTGGGAATTACAGCGGTAGTGCTGGGAGGACGTTTCGACTAGACGATTTTACAGGTCTCTTCCCCCCCTGACGATTCCCGGATCCCGTGGCTCTGCGATGACTCCACGCAGGCGGCGCTGTGACGGGCGCTGTGCCGGGCGCTGTGAGGGGCGGGCTGGCCCCGCGCCTGCGCCGGCCGCGGGCGGCAAAGCGGCCGCTTCCTGCGCGCTGCCGGCATGGAGGGAGGGATCCTGATGGAGATCAGGCGGGGGACACAGAGCGCGTTGCTGGTTATCCGGTAGTGCGGGGGCGCTGCCCGCCCGCCGCCGCTCGGGCCGTGCGGGGGAGGCGGGGGCGCGGCGCGGGGGCGGCGGGCTTGGCTCTTGGCATCCTGAGCCCTGAACGAGGGGGAACGGGTTGTGTACCGTGGGGCGCCTCCTCCCGCTCTTGTCTGCCTGTGCGGCTCGGCGCAGCCTGGGCTACTGTGCAAATAAATGCTTCCTGAGACCGGTGATTTATTCCTCTCGGTTGCTCCTCGCCCCCACGAGAGACCCCGGTTCACCGCGTGGGTTCCGGGGCGCGACTCGGGCCGCGGGAGAGCTGCAGGCCGGCCTGTGTCAAGCAGCAGCTCGGCCTGACGGCCCCTTCCCGAGGCACAAGCCGTTCCTTTTCCTCCCCAGCGCGGCGGCGGAGGATGCAGGCGCGCCGGTGGAGGTGTCGCTGTCGGCGGATTCCCTGGAAGTGCGGAGCGGCGGGAGCTGCGCTGCGGCGGCGCTGCCGCCAGGGGTCAGCCTGGCGCCGTCCTCGTGCCGCGGGCTGCGCCGCCTCCCCGGGGACGGGCTGCACCTGCGCGTGCGCATGCGCCGCCCGCCGCCCCCCGCCGGTGAGGGCGGGGCGGGGGCACGGCCGGGGCCGGCCCTCAAAAATGTGGGAGGGGGCGAGGAACACCGCGGGTTCAGCTGAGGGGTTTTGGAGTGTAGATTCAATAGAGAAAACACCCCTCACACTTCTCGCCCCGCCTTGTCAGCCCTCCCTCCTCTTCTCGCCCCGCCTTGTCAGCCCTCCCTGCTCCCCCCACCCCAGACCTGGAGCCGGTGGTTCGCATTGAGAGCGTGTTGTTGCTGTTTCTTGAAGGCTGTCGTAGCTCTGAATTTAAGGTGTAAATAGGAACTGAGGAAATTTTAATGGAGTTGTCACTTTTAAAATATTGAAGTGCAATTAGAATGACGTAACGAAAGGGAAATGCCGAGTGTGGGAGTTTTGAGAGCTGCTCTCAGTCCCTTCCCCCGCGCTTCCCCGTAGTACTTCCAAGTTATTTCCTTTCTCTCGTGTTTCATGTTTAGTAGCTGAAAGTCGTAGAATGTTAGGGGGTTGGGAGAGACCTTAAGATCATCTAGTTCCAGCCCCCCCTTGCCATGGGCAGAGACACCTCTCACTAGACCAGGTTGCTCAAGGCTTCATCCAACCTGGCCTTGAACACTTCCAGGAATGGGGCATCCATCCTGGGCAACCTCTTCTGGGTGTCTCATAGTAAAGAATTCTTTATTAATATCTAACATACATTTTCCCTCTTTCAATTTGTACCCATTACTCCTTGTCCTATCACTACAAAAATGCCGTAATCTGATTCATCCAAGCTATCAAAGGTTGTCCATCTCTGACCTCTTAATCATAAAGGATTGTGGGTTTGTGTTGGGCCTCTTTGTTCTCCTAGCCGGTGTTTGCATAGGCTAATATCACAGGTAAAATCTGCAGAGCTACCTTCTTTACTTCCATGATGCTCATTCAAGTCTAAGATGTCTTTGCAATAAATAGAAAGCATGGTAGTACAACTGGTGCTTTCTTTTGTCCTGGCATCGAAGCTCAATATGTTTAGATTCATGGCATAGGATGTGACACAGAAAGATATATTGAATAACACAAAATCGCCATTCTGTGGTTTTAAAGTAGAAATGGCCAGTAAAGTGTGTGATATACAGTAATGATTTCAGCACCAGAAACACATTGGAATGCTCTGTTGATTTTAGGATGTGCTGAGGTTGCATCTGTACGTTAATCTGTAATTATGCACGTGCTTTGAAAATTGGATTATACTAAAATTATTTGGTGTGAGACATTCTTGAGGAGACCAGGGATGAAGTTTTAAAAATTTACCTTGTGAATTCATACTAGTGAAAAATGTGTGGTAATCAAAGCATATATTGGAAAATCTTACTTAGCCTTTAATGTTTTATATTATTATGCAAAACTAATTGTCTCTTACATGAAATTCTGGAACCTTTTAAAGTACTTGTCTCTTATTGTTGAATCCTAAATTTTAAGTAAATTTTAAATACTGAATACCAGTGCTGAGAATCTACCTGGATTCTTAAATTTAAGAAAGTGGGTGACGGAGAGCATATTCATACATAGAGCTCGGTTTAAAGTCTTACTTTTCTTCCACTTAATATTGTTGGATAATTCATGGAGGCTTTTATAGCTTCTTTTTTAATTTGGAAAAGTTGTCTGAGCAGGCTTTTGTGAGACTGTTTTTGCTTTGCTGGCCTGCAGAGGCCGTTGCTCACTGTCTTTTCCTGCAGTGCTACCACAGTGGCTGGCCTCTTATATGCCTGAAAAATTAAAACTGGTGCCTCCCTCTGCTCCCTGTCCTGACTATTTTGTGTTACGTTTTGGGGTGTATCCTCATACTGCAGAGACACTGAGTATCAGAAGTATCACTACAAAAGAGTGGCATTGAATTTTGATTTACACAATCTCTATGATGATATCTGTATCTCAACTCCCCCTGTGGAGAGGATTTGCACCTTGAAAATTATTGTTCACATATACAGTTCCTATTCAGCAATTTGGAGCATGAGGTGGAGATGGCAAGTTTTTCCTCAATCTAAATACTTGTTTCTACAGGTAAATAAATTAAGGTTGTGTTTAAAATGTCAGCATCTTGCATTGTTAGTTGGATTTATCTTTCTTCGTCTGAGGTATTTGGCAGGATTTTTCTGTACAAGTGACTGAAAATTTTACATAATTTTGAAGATTAATATGTTTGGTTCTATTAATAGATCTGGCTTTTACTTTGAGGGAAAGCCTGAAACCCCACAAGAAATACATCTTTTACTGTCAGTCCTGTGGTGACATCATAGTAGAAGATCGGTGAGTACTGCAGTGGCTTGTATTTATAGCAATAAATACCATAATGATTCCTATTCACGTTATTTTGTCTATTTAGAGAATACTAAAGGTTGTTTATTTTGAAATTGATAGACAAGAACACATCTGAAGCACTATGAATGACAAAAAGCAAAACTACCTGAAGCCGTTTTTAACCATTCATTTAATTCTTCCTTTCTTTCTTCCTCTGCACTTCAGGCATCCTCTTCTGTTCTTTTCAGTATCTTGTAAATTTCCTGCAGTCATTGTGCTGTAGCTATAGAGTGGCTGCTCAGAATGGGGATGTTGGCCACAGTTCTTCTCTATCCGTTAAACAAAGCCTACTTCCACATAGTTCTGGGGTGTTGAATTTGGAAAACACAGGAGCTCTGTCTTAGAGGTGTGACTCGGCCTTATCTCTGTTCCTTACAAAGTCTGCAAAGTGAATGAGAATTTCAGTAAAAAGCTGCTGCATTATCTGGCTCTTTTGATGAACAATTTTGACAGCTTCAGCTGTATATATAAAAAGAGTTAGAGATGTGCTTACAGCCTTTTGTGGTCTGTGTGACTTCTAATACTTAAAATGATAAGACAAATGTGTTACATTCTGTAAACTCATGTTACTTTCTTGTCGTATGTATGGGCTTATGGCTAACCTGAATGTAACTGAATGAGGATTTTTTGGCTTTCTCTTCTGAAATGTCTCATCAGAAAATCTGGTAATAACACTTATTTTGATACATTTGCAGAGTAATGAAACTTCTAATTTCTAGTCAGTAGCATTTGCTTTCAAAACATATTGCACTTTTATATTTTCATTTCTCAGTGGATGTTTTTCTGAATTTCAGCACATCAAATTCATATGCACGGAGTTTAAGTCTTTTGGTTCTGAATCCTATAACATAATGCAAACAGAACTTTTGAGAAAGGAAAAAAATGACACCTGTTCATGGCTCGTTACTTGTCGTTTCTTCTTGCAGGGAACCTCTGAGCCCCTTGAATGTTGCTATTAAAAAAATGCTAAGACAAGGGTAGAAGATTGGAGCTGCCGGTGTGTCCAACACCTTCTGTCCTAGCAGTTCCAAAAGGAAGAGAGTAGCATAGTCAGAACTTTCAGCTACAGAATTCATGTGTTCATCTCTTTGGGGAGACTGAAGTATGACAGTGGCAGCACAGGTGGAGGGATTGAAATTACATGACTGTGTGAAGGAGAACTTATTAAAGTGTGAATTACTAGGAAAGGGTCTGTAATAAGAAAAACACGAGATCTAGAAAATTATATCTTTGAGAATAAATTGAATTGAAATAAATGGAATTTAGTTTAGATAAGGTTATGGAGAAGACGTAAGACTCTTCCAATATCTAAGAAGTTAATGCAAGGAAGATGTCAGTAGTCTTCAGCGGAAGCAAGAGCAATTCAGCTTAAAAATGAAAAAAAAAATTGAAACCTGCCACAAACGTATTCTAAAACTTATGTTTTACTGTTAAAGACTGCATAAGCAGCCATCATTTTAAAGGTTGGATTAGAGAAATATATTAGAAATGGTTTAAATGTAAGTAAACCTTCCTTGGGGAAAGAAAATTGACTATACATTTTCTGAAATCCTCTCATTGAGTTTGTTTCCTTCTTTGAATCTGATTGCTCTTCAGAGGTTAGGGGGATGTTCTCTGATTCTTCTCCATTACTTTCACGTTATCTATGTTAGAGGAAGTGATTAGGTTTTTTTTTTTTCTTCCACAATGTAAGAGCTGCAAAGAATTTGGGATGCTTTCATTTTTCTTTCTCTCCTTCCAGGTAGGCTAAGTATAGCTTATATGTAAAATAATATAAGGCTTTATTTCTGTCATGAAGAAATTCTTAAAGGTCTGTGGTGGGTGGATGCCAGGTGTCCACCAAAGCTGCTCTGTTACTCCCCTCCTCAGCTGGACAGGGGAAGGTTCCCAACCTAAAAATTGTTTGTTGCTCTGACCATGAAGGCAGCTTAGGTGACTATTTTCAAATAGAATCTGTTTTTATTAGGAGCAAGTTTGGGGAGAAAAGTCCCCCTGTCTGCTAGGTTTTATCACTGTGTTTAGCAGCCTCAATTTAGTCAGCACTCAGTGAACTTCAAGTTGTTTTTGTTTGTTTGTTTTTCCAGAAAACTATGATCCAGGATATGGCTTCCTACCTATGAGTGGTGAAAGCCTAAAATATAGTGGAAATGCTATGGTTTTGGTATAGCTTAAGTTAAGAAAGTCTGTTTAGAAAATTCCTACTGGTTGGAGCAACTGCTTTTGTTGGAAAAGAAGTGAAGATCCTGGTGCTCTAGGCTGTGAGAGTAAAGAAAGGGTGATGTAATGAATTGGGACAACTTTACTATGCAGCTTAATATAATCTCTGGCTTTTTTTTTCTCCTGTATGTAACACGTAAAAATATTACTGAGCAATACCAGCTATCTGTTTTTTAGTGTAAAGAGCAATGCATAGTGTGAGTCCAGGCATCGGTACTAATTTTGAGGGCTGGTGAAGAATGAGTCATTAGGCTGATACCAGAATTAAAGTCTCACCTTGGCAGCATTGGGTTGTATCTCAGGCAATACATTAAAGCACAGAAAATGAAGACAGAGATGGGTAGTACTGAGAGGTTATCTTCGTTACGGTAAAGCTGGATCAGAGGATGAGTCATTCCAACTTTCATCTGCAGGTGGGGCAAGCACAGTTTCAAATGTATTGTCGATCTAGAAGGAAGGATTTTTTGATAAAGGATTTTACTTTCACTGATTGAACAATTCAAAAGGGACAAGAAACTACAATGGGAAGAACTGACATCCTCAGAAAAGATTAGTTTGGGAACTGCAAGAAAGGGAGGATGTCTAACTGTTGGCTTAGCAGCTGTATTTTTGTTTGCAGAGTAGTACCATAAGCAGAGTCGTATTTGCAAGTTTGAAGTAAGGAGTAGAATCAAGAAACTCTGTGTAAAGGTTTCAGGAGACAGCAGAATAAATAAGGGAACAATAGGAAAGCGTTTAAGGAAACTAGGCAGAGAGGAGAAACCGCAAACTAATATAACTGATAACGAAGGCAAAGTCTGGTATGTCCTGAAGCAGCATTCTTGGTCCTACAGCTACCCAGGAGAAAGGGATTTGTTTTTTTTTTAATGTGACTTCTGAAAGTTGGATCTGAGTATCGGAATCTGAATTAAGATTGCATTATCCTTGTTTGTTGTTTTGTTTGTTTCTGTTTTTCTTAATGAAGATGTACTGTGGTATTTTTGTCAGGATTTTCCTTTTTCAGAGTCTGGTATCTGACTCTGAAGGGCTTCAAAGTACATGCTGAATCTTGCTGTGGCATGAGTCTTTTTCTGTTGATTTTATATCAACAGTTTGTACAAGAGAATTTTACAAGTAATAGTAAGTGTGATTGCAAAATGCCCATTGCTGTATTTTTTATGACTGGGTAGAACTTTTTTCTTGACATATGGTAAATTTCAAGATTAAGTCTGCCTTATAATCACTGGAGATTCACTCTTGGGAAATGTTTTATCAGAAACTCAGCAAGAAACACTCAGCCATGGCTTTCTCAGAATTCACCCAAAGAAAGTGCCTTTGACTGAAAAGAGAGTCAAGTATTTCCTTTTGAGAAAATGCCATATTTCTGCCCCCTCTCCCTTTTTGTAGGGAGTCTAAGCTCTCTTTTAGTGTCTTAGAAAAAAATTATAATATATTGAAATATTTGTTTCTTGTTCCCTCTTAGGAAATTTCTTAGAGTTCTTCCTCTACCGAGTGACAATTGGAGTGATTTAGTTGAAGAGTGGTGTTGTCACCCTAACCCCTTTGCCAGAAGCACTTTGCACCCTCAGCATGATGACTGTTTTCTTGGAGACACTTTTTTTCTGTTGAATTCAGGGAATGAATCACATGTGCCTGAATCTCCCATGTGCTGCTCAGAGACTGGACACCATGCTTCTCAGAGTGACTGCAACTTGGTAAAGTATTTCCTTAAAATAATTCTCAAGTGAATGTGTTTGGACTTTTTTAATTGCGAAGTAATTTTTGTGTTTCCTGGCTGATTTAACTTGTATGTATTACAGAGCTGTTTGGAAGGTCATAGTGGGTTCTTGATATTCAGTTGTACAGAAGCCAGAAAATATTCTAAGCTATGTTTTATGTTTTCTAAATCTCACACCACAGTCTTTATATTGACCTAGATATGCAAGAAGAACTTTGTCCTACAAACTAAATTAGAAGCCTTTTATTTATGTAGTTCTAAACCCAAAAGTTTTCCCCAAAAAATATCCCAAGTGAAGGGCAGAAGGACATTGAAATTTAGTAAGATAATAACTGTAATGGGTTAGGTGTTTGTCAAAGGACAGTGGAGCAAAGAATAAGGAGGAAACTGGAATAACAATTATTTTTCTTCTCAAACTATGACTGGATGCATAACCATAAATATGATGAAAGAAAGGTGGGAATTTTTTTCTTCTTTTTTTTTTTTTTTTTTTTCTTTAGAAAGACTTGAAAAAATCAGAATGTGTTATGGGTTCAGATGTGGCTGTCTTACTTCTTAGAACACAGTAAGGAAATCGAGTTTGTTTGACTGTTCTGTCTAGAGAGGGGACCTACCATGTCACATTATAGCTCTTCATGTGGATGTTTCTGAGGTGTTCCAGGATGGGATATATTCATCAGCTGAGTCTCTAGGAAGAAGGCTATTATTTGGCTCAGAAATGTCAAAAATTGTTGTTTCCGGGGACAAAACATTTTTAGGGATGCTGATGCTTCAATTCTGGGATAAAACCCATGAAGAAAGAAAATTCAGTGCTTTACTCATCCTGGACATATAGCACTTGTATAAAATTTCAAGCAGTAATCTTTTCTTCTGCCAGAAGAACATCCAGGAATGTAGTTCATCAAAGCCTACATTTCCATAAAGCTTGTCTGCCTTTATGCTGGCAAAGGTTGGGCCTGAAGACGCCATATTTTCTCCCCATACCAAATATTAAACTTAATTATTGAAATTCTTCTACAGTTATGGGAACCATTGCTACCTTGTCAATTTGTGTCTATAACAACTGATGACTTAATATATCCAGATTCTCAGCATGAAGCATTTAATCTGTTGAGAACTAACACCAGAGACCCTGATTTCCATTTTCTGCTGCTGCTTATTAGTGGTTTGTATTACCCCCAGTAAAATTCTCACAATTCAATGGTTGCTGGTGCAAAGCCTGGGGAACAGTTTTGTCCTATAGCCCATTTCTCCAGCTCTTGCTGCTGTGGTCCCTTTTGTTTCTTGTTCCATTGTTCTTTGAAAAGCAGAATATGGGGAGGGGAAAATAAGGACTGGTACCCTGAAAGGATGTCAGCATGGGAGAAGCAGATTAATTTGGATTAACTCTGTGACAATTGGAGTTATTTCTTCTAAGGTTCCTTAAGAAGGAGGTGGAGTAGAAAATTAAAAATTTCAAAGAGGACAATGTTTTTTGCCAGAGGTCCCCAAAATGAATTCTCACATTTCAGCAGTCTTAAAAGAGATCTTAGAACAATGGGAACAAATATGGGAAGAGGCGGGGTGCGTGGAGTTCATGTTGCACACTTCTTCATCAATCAAAGAGAATGTTTGGCAGCAAAGAATTGATTTTGAGACAAACATATAATAAAAGGATGTGGAACAAAGATGTTACAGAGATGTGGGTCACACCAGGATAACAGAAGAACTTTTAAATGAGGGAGGAGGCTGATTTATGTCAGAGACATACTACAGTGGTTTAGTGTAATTAATTTTCCTGTTTGCTTCCTTAAACACCTCAGAAATGTTAACATGAAGAGCTATAATGTGGGATGTCAGGTTGCCTTCTCTAGACAGAACAGTCAAAGAAACTCAATTTCCTTACTATGTCCTGGGAATGTAAGACAGTCACATCTGAACCCATAACACATTCTGATTTTTCCAAGTCTTTTCTAAAGCTAAAAAAAAGAGTTGAGAATTTGTTGCTTGTTTGTGTCAAATCCCTCTTTCTACATCTTTCATACTAGCAGTGAATTCTCATTTCTGTGTTTGCTTATTTCCAGCATCACTCAGTTGCCAAGCAAATGAGCAAAACTCTAAGATCCAGCAGAAACTGGACTAATAAGGAAAAAACCCTCATACTGAAGCAGAAAATTCTTCCATTATATGAGTAATAGAAAGTTACAGCCAAGATGGATTGCTATTGGCATAAATGTTCTCATTTAAGAGAATTTTCTTGCAGCCTACCCCAGTATGAAAGTTCTTTTTTAATTGCATTGCAGTTCTTTGGGAAGTGTTTGACTATGACCAAAATAGTAGCAGGAATGTACCAGAGATGCTTAAACAATGTTTTCCAGGCTCCAGTGGGACCAAGACAGCATCCGTCCACTGCGAACATATTTTTCACATCTATTAGTCTCTCAGTGTAACATAGTTTTTAAATGTCACATGGTACTGCAGCATCCTAATAGTATCTCTTGGGGAAACTCTTTTTCCCTGACACCATATCTGGGATCCTTAGGAGTAGAAACAGAAAATATTAGGCTTGTGATCCACCTCCACCTGCAGATTGCCAGCAGCTGCAAGTTGTCAAATAGATATATTGATTTAATTAGTCAAGCTAGAACTGTTGCTTTTTCCATTGAAGCATGATCCAGTGAGGTAGCGGTGTTTTTTTTTAGTACCGTACTGCACAATTCTCAGCCAGCATCTGTAACTGTAGTCAGAAAAAAATACTCAAGTTGTAGCTTTCAAGGAAGTACTGTATATATTCTGTACTTGTACTGTGCAGTATTTGTACCAGTCTCAAATATTGACTTTAACAAAACCTTGTCTACTTATCCTTGGTTTTCACATCAAGCAAGTAATTTTACTGTGTATGTTTGAGAGGAGTAGCAAAGTAGGAATTGGGAAAGGGGATAACTGCATCTATGTGAATCAGATGTTTTTTCTGATCTCCATAACAAGGGGGCTGTAGTTCTAACGTAGTCAGCTCTTGGGCTCTCCCTGGGCCATTTAGTTTGATTCCTCATTTGTGACCATCATAGGTGTTATATATATACTGCTTTCAGACTAGACTACATCCAGGTTAATAAACCCACACAGAACCAGTTTTGGACTTTGGATTAAAGTAGGAGTTACACTTACATGTTTGATGCTGAATTCAAATATTAACAGTTATTAGCAGGAGCATTACAGGGCAGATATCATGCCAAGATGAGATCTTTTTCAAAGGGCAGTAGTGGATACATAAGAGTAAGGCAAATATTGAGTTATGTTCTGGAGATTGTAGAGACTCCTTGAACTAGACACTGTTATCCACATTTTTTGTTTTTCATAAGACCTTGATGAACATTTCCTCTGAATTTTTGAAGACTTTTTGAACTTGTGTATACTTTTACTATGAAAAACACTTTCCTATAGTGAGAACCAAACTACATTATGCATTGTGTGACAAATACCTTCCTTTTCTTTGATGCAAACAAGACTCGATAGTCTCAAGAGATCTTTTCCAACCTAGTGGATGCTGTGATTCTATAATTTCATAGCATGAGCTATGAGAGCAAATGTGGTTTTTTTCTGTTCAGCTTTTCCTAAACATTTGTGATTTTATGTATCTCAGTGATACCCCTCAGTTTTCTGTGCTTCCTTCCATTACATGTGTTTTCTTGCCACGTATGGAAACTGTTTTGCACCTCTGACAATTATTCTTATTTTTTGTTTCTGCTTGAATTGAGGAAGAAATATTGCTCAAGAACAGAATACACTGCATCTTTCTGGAATATCATGCTATGTTGTGTTCTTCAGCTGTTTTCTAGTAACTCAAAACAATCTGTGGACATTTTCTGCTATCTGCTGAACACTTAACTGGTATTAGACTCCTATAAAACTGTCCACAGTGGCTAGAACTTTTTACTGGGTAATGATAGTCACTTTGCATCATACTATTTTATGACTGTATTATGGAGTACTTCATTTCATGTGCATTATTTTGCTGTGAGGTCAGAATATATTGCCAGATTTTAAAACCAGTATGAAACTTGCAAGCAAGTCCAGCTATAGAAAGCTGAAATAATGAAGGCAAATCTATGTGCATGCAAACATAAAGAGAACAGAAAGAAGTACAAAGTTTACTGTCTACTCTGCAGATTGTTACAATTATGCATTCCTTTTTCAGAATATCTGAATGACATTTAAATGATATTTCATTGTCCTACAGAAATCAAAGGAAACTACCAGAGTAATTTGTAAGCGCTGCAAGACAATGCTGGGAGAAACAGTATCATCAGGTATGAGATGTACAAATGAAAGTAGACTTGACTGCATCAGCCACTGAGCACTGGAGATTAAAAACTCTGAAGGAAAGTAGTTTTATCAGTAAGGTGCAGGGCTGATTCCTGTGTATTCTTCCCATTTCCTTCTGGAACAGATGAGGTTGTTTTTTCCACTGTTAGATCTTGAAAGTGACTTTCAACAGGGATTTTCCTCATCCTTGTTTCTGAGGCATATTTGGCTAATTTCAAAGCTTTGGAAGATTCAATGCTTGATTCCAGTCAACACACAGCTAGAAGCTGAAGTTGCTAAGAGTCAGCCTGGTTTTGTGGGAAGACAGCCTTGTCAAAGAAGCAGGTGATGTCTCATCCTCATTTGATGATGAGATGATGCTTTAGAAGTGTAATTATACTGAATCAGCAGGATTTACCAGAAGCAGTCTAAAGATGAGTATCTGGTCGTTTTTAAAATTCAACTATTAACAGGAGAGAAACAATGATAAGACTGTTAGTAGCAGGGTTCATTCTTTCATTTTTCCTCTACTCCACTGCATCAGTCAGTGTGAGCCTCTTTCAGTTCAGAGATCTGGTGAATATAAAAACTTCTCAGAAAATGTAAAGCCTGTTTATGAAGTAAGTCATGAGGTGATGCAAGACAGAAGGTTTTCTGTACAGAACATTCTGATTGTCCTGTACAGGGATCTGAACAACACAGGCTTTAATAAAACCAAATTTAAGGTACAATATTTGAAAGCCCCCAAAGCAGGATGTGACTTTAGGAAAGCAGTGCTTGGAAAAGAGCATGAATAATAAGGTCATGAGTAATAGATGCCTTAATCTATGCCTTCAGATGCCTTCAGATAGTTTTAGCATCCAGTAATTGATATAATTGGTGGAAATGGGTAAAGGCAAACACTGTACAGATGTGCATGGATTTGGTATGGACTCTGCACAAAACTGAAGTTAGATAGCATGTATCCATTGTTTTGACCATCGTTTCTGCAGTACTGTAGGAAATTTAAGTAGAGTTCAAAGAACAAACAAACTAACCAGCAATGTATGGTATAAGTCGAGGCAGAACCATCTCTGTGAGAAGGGACTAGAGAGCATACTTGACTGTCATGGTTTGGTGCTTCCTCATGAGCAGATATCAGTGCCTTGAAGATAAAGCAGGATTAGAGTGGTGTAGCTGTGGAGGCCACATTTGGATTTCTCCTCAACTCTACCCACAGACACTTGTATGATTTTTTTCTTGGGAAATCACACCTTCTCTTTCTCTGCAAGCAAACATCTCCTGAATTCCCAATACCTTTGTAGCAGTAGCACTAATTCCTTAGTCAGGAATTAGTCAGGGTAATGGATGAGGAACTAAAGGGACTGAACTTTCTTTTACTCCCATCTCCAAGGACTAGCAGAGTGTGGAGCAGACTAAATTAAACTTAGAGGTAAAATATAATTTCCTGACGGTGAAGATAATTTAAAAAGCATAGTGCTTATCTAGAGAAGGAGTTGGATTACAAAGCCTTTGGAGTCTTTAAAACACATTAAGCGTTTTCCTGAAATGCTTACTTTCATCCAATTTTAATGGTATGTGTGGACAGAGATCAGATGAGATGATCCCTTTCACCCTTAAAATTTATGGAACTGATGAATCTTCCAGCTGTTCACATGCTAAGGCTTAGTAGAATGTATTTATTACTCTCTATACTTAACCTCTTTTGCTGGCCCTCTCATAGGCTGTGTTTGCAGCATATACCCAGATCTTCAGTATGATCGTCTTTGACCTGACTTTATTGATGGGGATTAAATTATGTCCTCAAAAATGTTACATTTAGTGTTAAAGGCTGTCTTAGTGAAGCTTTTGATGAACAGTTACATTGAAACTGATGTATGAAAGAATGTATGCAATGCTAGTGTTGAGTGAGTGTGATTTTTGGAAAGAAGTTCCATTCTGTTCTTTGAGCAAAGAAGAAAATTATTCCCCTGTGTGTGCTGTTATTAAAACTGTCTCTTGTGATTCACTGCAGCATTACTGAGCAGCAGAGGGTACTAAAATACTTACGTAAGCTATGCTGATCTCAGTGCTTTAGGAAAGTTCTTTCAATTCGTCTTTCAGGTTTGGCTTGAGCTCTTGCTTTGTTTCAAGGTGATTGTTCCCAGCGTTAACAAAGATCAATATGAATGAGAAATTGCTGATCATGTAATTAGCTCAGAACAGTTTTCTTCAGGCAGTGTAGGTTTTTTGTTATGGTTGCTTCACCTCCTACAAACCAAAGCAGAATTTGACCGTCCGCTGCACTTCTTAATGGAGTACTGAGCAAATGTTTAATTAGTTTAGTGATAGGCTGACTTATAGTCTAATCTTAACAAGTTGGTTATTCTATTATACTTCAAAATTGTTTCTGTCATTTTAGATACCATTAAATATTATGCCACTGAGGTGATTATTCAGCCAGCTGAGGGAAGTTTCAGCCCAATACCAAGGTAACAAAACAAAATCAGGTAATTTGTTCACGTGTATGTTTTAGAAAGGATACTAGAAATGCTCTAATCTTATAGTTTCTTGAATAATTGCATGTAATTAGCAGTGCAATTCTACGTAATCACCCCAGAATTAGGCATTGTAAAGATAATGTAGTTTGAATTCACTTATATACAGTTCTGTTTGCTCATCTGTGTGTGTGACACAGGAGAGATTGTGTATAATTTGTCACAATGTCTCACTATTCAGATGATAAACCAAAATGAAATACCTATTTTTTGAACTACTTAAACTTGCATGACATCTGGTGACTAATTATGGAAACAGAAAGTTACATAATGTAAAGTTAAATTGAGTAAAATTTGAAATATTGAATTGGAACTGAGATTTTTGAAATTTCAAGCAATTCAGTTTGAAATTAAGTCTAAGGTGAAACAGAAGCTGGTCTATCTATCTTGTATCATGTACTATGCATTAGTCACAGTTATTTCTTTATGTAAATTGTATTTGAAGTATGTGCATCGTTCTGAACTTTGTGTTCATATGTGCAAAGGGAAGGCTTTTATTCAGCAATTCACATTTGGTGTTGGCCCAAATAAAGGATGTGGAGCAATTTAGAATGCTGGTCTATTAAAAAATTCCTGTTGCAGGAAATAGAAAATTGTAGGCTGTAGTGAAATTGACAGTATGGAGATACTCAAATATCTGTAGTGCATTGATATATGAAGGACTTTGCCCATATAGCTGTTCTGAAAACATATAATATGCGGTTCATTCTTAAACAGGTCTCAATTTGTGCAGAGCGTGGTTGCTCAGTGTCTTGTGGAGTTATCCTCTGCTAAAAGCACGTTTAGATTCACTATAAAAGGGGATAATGGAAAAACCTATATTCTGGTAAGTTTTTAGATCTTCATCTTTCTGAAGAAGTTTAACCTATGTATCCCAGCTCCTAAAATTTATTATTCATGCTGTTTGTTATTGTATGTTTAAAGAAAATTAACAAATTCAAATTCTTGAAGTAGCTCTGAAGAGTTCTGTTCAAGTAAGAAATCTCCAAGTTTTTTAATGTAAGTATATGTACATGTAGACATTTTCTCCTGTTGTTAAATTAATGAAAGTGCTATGAACACACCAGAAGTAAAACTGGTTTATATTTAGAAAACATGGAAAGTTTAAATTTTAACTTTTATCTCATCTTCTTGCTCCAGTGCTTCTTATCTTTAATCACCAGAAGTGAATCAAATTGCATAGCATCTTTCATATGTATTGTCTTAAGCCAGCAGGGACTACTAATGTAGTAGTAGTGAAGTGCAAACAAAACTAAAATTGCCTATTATACTTAATGTTCTTATGCTGCTAAACTTGGTTAAGCTTGATATTTAAATAGTGACAGCTAGATTCCCCAAACTTTTAATAGAGATAGGAATTATCTTAATACTATACACCTGTTATAACTAAGGATATTTTCTTTTATTCCTGAACTAAATATCAGGTATGGAATTTGTACATTTGCAGTTTATACAAATAATTCATAGACACAAAGATAAAGAAATACATGATTATAGATTCCTGTCTTGGATAAACTTATAGATGCACTTCCTTGAGGCAGACAATCTGATTACATAAATTGTTTTATATGTGCATTGTCTGAGTTCTGTGATTTCTGAACACCCAGATGCTGAAGAAAGTGTATATCTCTTCCTTTTAAATAAATTTTAGTGCAAAGATAACATTTGTACAACCACTGAGAAATACCTCTTTTGTAATGGGAAAATTAGGGTATCATGAGCAGACCCGTAATTGTCACTATGTATTATCTAATTGAGGAGCCAACAAAAAGTTGTTTTTCCTTTGTAGCTTATGTGTTTCCAAGTTACCTAAAACTCTGCTGCTTAAGTCTAGTAGCTTACATAGAGAAAACTGGATATTTTCTAACAGAAAAATCACTTTGTTTAGTAGATTGCCATTACTCTTAGCTCTAAGTCACATTTTTGCTGATGTATTGATTAGAGGAGCAGGCTGAATTAGATAGGGGCTGGCTTCTAATTGGCACCTCTTCCTTTTTATTAATTAGTTACTAGTTTTTTGGGGATGTTCTTTGTGTTTAACATCAGAAAGCCCTTACTCATGTCTGGAGTTAGGTTCTGGCAACTGTATACACATCAACAGGTGTTCTGGAGTTGTGGGTTAAGTGTCAGGGCTCAGAGGCCTTGTGGACACAAGTGTAATTTAAGCACTGTTTGTATTAAAGATTGTCAACAGCTAAACAGTAAAAAAAGTAGGTGCTTGAGGCTGTGAGTATACAGCCAAGTTACACAAGGAGTCTCATCAATGATGCATTGTGAACCAGCTGTCCCACTTGTTTGTATTGATAATGAGTCAAAGATTGTAGTTCACAGTGTTTGTGCTTACATACATGAATGCACACAGCTTAGGGTGTTTATGTGATAATTAGGGTTAAGGTTTCTCACGGGTATGTTTAACTTTTTTTTAAACCACAAATATTATGTACACTCGTTTTCCTTGTTTCCTCTGTATGTATCACTTAACTTTACCAGTTATGTTATTTGCAGATATCATAATATGAGTTTCTGTTGTTTAAGTTATTCTGTTGTTCAAGGTATATACTACTTATGTTGGGTTTTTTTTTTAAAGGATGTCAACAGATAAAAGTCTCTTTGTCTCAGGAAAAAAAAAAAAGTGGTGCATAAAGTTTTCCTTATTTATCCTAACTATATCTCTACCCTCTCCACATTCTATAAAAGGTAAATCACTTGCCTCCTGTCTTTGCTCAACTGTTGAAGTGTTCCCTACCTTGAATGACTTACAAGCTAGGAATAAGAGGAGGACAGCAAATGGACAGTGAGATAGGAGAGCTTGAGCAAAATGGTACATTATTGGTCAGCATAGCAGCATCTTAATAGATGTCTGGTTTTTTCTGTACTGTAAAAAAGTATAGCTTTGAAAGAAGTAAATAAGTAGCTTTCTGAATAGATAAAGGGAATTCATATAATGGATGGGATCAACCTGATAAAACCCAAAAATACATACATCTATGAAAATCAAAAAGTGTGTGGTAGAGTTTGAATACTATCTCCAGTCTTTCAGTACTGAATGAAAGACCTTTTTTTGGAGTGTAAAGTGTAAAGTGCCTTGAAAGTAAGGCAGCTTATATCTCAGGAGTGATTGGAGAAGGAGTTGGAAGATATCCCGAGAAATTTAATGTGCAACAAAATGGGAGAGACCTGATTGTTGGGCCATGTCTTGAAGAGCATGTGCAAAACAAGTTCGCATTTGTTAAGACTGGAGAAGGGGTGGATGTTGCAGTGATCAAGAACTGAGTTAATGAGAACCTTCTTGAGACTTAGCTACCCAGTCCCCTTAGAGACCTTTATTCTTTGTGAAATATGTGGAAACCACATCTTTACCTGAACAGTCTGAACGTGAGGACGAAGTAGCTGCAATGAAAGACGTTTGCGTTAGTGACCTGTGTGATGATAAAAGTAATAGTAATGCCTCCACAGTAACTATGAAAGAACTAGCACAGAAAAATAAAGACTTTTTTTTAACCCATGTTAAGTTTTAATTGATGCCCCATTGTCCACAAAATTGTAGTATTTCACCTGCCTGGATTGAGTCCCATGAAGTGTAATTGAGATAGATTTGTTGTAGCTTTTCTGCTAAGAATATCTTTGAGGTCTATTGACAAAGTGATTTAAAAGTGAAAGAAAGCAATGAAAAAAAAGACCAACAAAACCCCAAATACTTTCTTCTTATGCTGTCATTTCAGAAAAGGTCATCATTTGCACTATGAATGAATTCTAGACTTTATGTATTTATCTTTCTGTAAAGGTTCTTTACTTACTGCAGTTAATGCACAAGCTGTGCTGTACAAAGTGGTAGAAAGGAGGGAAAGCTTGCAATTGTGAGTAATGTAGTAGAAAGCCCAGATCAAAATATAAAACTGTCTTAGCCAGAAATAACATATAAACTGCTTTGAGTCAACGGACTGAGTCTGAGTGAGTGGTTATTCATTCAAACCAAAAGCAAGATCAAAATTAATTCATGCATGAGAAAAAGAATGAAAATACTACCAAAAGCAGTAAATGTAGTTCAGAAGTTGATTTTCTCATGGCCAGGAGTCTTTCCACCTCCAAAGATTCATCTTCTTTCTCTGTATTGTGTGCTAAATTTTTAATACAGACCTTTTACATTGCTGTTGAGACAAAGACATGTTCTGAACAAGTGGTGGAATGTGATTGTCAGATGCCACATGTCAGCACTTGTGGCGGAGAGAAGGGCTTGTCAGATGGAACCATGTTGCAAATGAAATGCTTTAGTTGCTTTCTCTAAGGCAAATTGCAGAAGGATTCTGAAAGGAGGAGACAGCTATTGGCTGCATTGTTCCCTAGACTAGTTTGAAGCATCCTTCTGAAAAGCATCCCAGGAAGCTCCTTCACAGGGAATTGATAGTAATTTCAAAAGGAAGAAATTCTGTTTCGTTAAAATTAGAAGTGTTCACAGTGGCCTCTGTGTATAGGGCACTTTTCTTTTTTCACCATTGTCTCAAACACCTCCTCAGCACTTGGCTTAAAGCACCTTGTGTAATGGTCCCAGCTAATGAGGTATATTTTGCACTTTAGGCTATAAATGTGTACACTGAGTTACCAGAGCAAAACTGATGAACAGCCACTTGCTAAGCCAAATGCAGTTGCTTGTCATCATTTATGTGCATATGCCAAAGTGATTCTCCTCCCCCCATCCCTCCCAAGATATCTTTATCAATATATCTCATTCCTTCTTTATGAAGCTTCCACTGTAATGTTCTGAGCCTTGGGCTCTGATAAATTGTGACTGTCACATTCAATTACAACATATACTATGTGTCCTGTTAATGGTGGCTTTTTCCCTCCACCAGGGGATATCATGTGTCTGCTACCTAACATCATGTAACTTGTTTTACTTGAAGCTGATTAGATCATGAGGAGCAGAAGATTGCTCTCTGGTGAGCAGCACTGCATAAATCCTGTTTTCTATGATAAATATTTCATATATAAACATTTCATACAGGCTCTGCACTTGCAAAAATTGATTTCCATTGTTAACACATATCACTTCACTGCTGCAGGCTGTGAATAAAGGAAAAACCTGACTTTTTTTGTCAAGTGTTTAGCATGAAAGCCCTGGTTCCAAGTCAGAACACTGATGCCCAATCACACAAAGATTAAATAAGATCCTTAATGTGATGCAAAAAGTTCAGGTTTTTAAAACTCACTCCATTAAATATCCCCTGAATTGCTGGGAGGACATAGTGCTGAAGAATGCCAGTCCCATTATGAAATTTGATAAAGATTTATTTTCCAAGTAAGAGTTTGTTACAGCTGTTTGCAAATCTCAGCTTTCCTTTTAGACCATGTTAATTGCTGTCTTCTTCCTCGCATGTCTTAGCTTCATCTAGTCATCACTACCACTTATAAAAATCCTCAATTTTTGGCACTTCCAATGAGCAGTCTTTCAGTTCCCTGTCTTTAGCCCTCAATTGCTCAACACCATATGCTTGACTACCTCCAAAAAAAAAAAAAAAAAAAAAAAAAAAAAAAAAAAAAAAAAAAAAATTGGAGAAAGAATCCGTCTGGTACTGAAGGAGATAACTTGGGACTGTTTTGTTACTATCAAAGGAAATGTGCTAAAGTCACTAAAAGAAGCAGCTTCACAGAAATGATCTTAAGAGTGACTGTGATAAATCAGGCATCAGTTCATTGTATTAATCCTTTTTTCTCCACTAGAGGCTGTGCAGGCTGTGCTGAATAATAAAATGTCAATTTATGTCTGTTAATACATTGTTGGAAACTTTGTAAGAATGTAGCTTTACTATCGGGTGATTTAGAGTCAGAGTAAAGTAACAAGTTGAAATTGATATAATCTACAGTAAAATAAATTATTTCTTCATTTATAGATATGGCTTTTAAATTCTGACACATTGCTGGTGGAGTCTTTAAGAAGTTCCTCCTCTCTCAGTGTCCTTACACCATTTGGAGATACTTTTATGCCTAGCTCTGGACCAGTGGGGACCTGGAATGCTGTCAAAGTCCTTTACCAGCCATGCATAAAATGCAGAAATAAGGAGTAAGTACAACCTTCTCTGAACTCGGGTTCTGATATTTGATTTGCTTTGCGTTAGTATTTTTTTGATGTTCATTTTTTAAAGTATTCTTTTAAGCAAAATGGTAGAGGAGTAGTATTTGTTTTCTGTTATGACCAGAGAGAATCTGTTTGTTAAATTTTTCCACTCTGATACTAAAATGTAGACCAAAGAGTTATGCTGTTTCTAACGGCACTTGTAGATAACTTACATATTAGTGTTTAAATTTAATTTGCTTTCAGCCCAGTGGTGACATTATTTCAAAAAGAAGCAGAGCCCTGAGAGAAGAGGAAAGAGAAGAGGTGAGGGAGGTAGTTGAGTACAATGTTATATAAATGTTTTACTTAGATGTGTTCAAGTCTACCAGGGCCCTCATAAAGGAAACATTTGATTTCAGCAAGCTTTGAGTTCAACATTATGAAAAACATACACTGCCTAACATGATAAAACCTTTATCTGTTGGAAAGCAAAGGTAAGAGAACATTGATTAAGCAATGGCTCCAGTGTTTACAGGTGATGGAGTATGATTTGACCATAGTTTTCTGCTTTTGTTTTCCAGTGATAGAGAAAAAAGTATTGATTCTGTATAAGTCACACTTAAATAGTGTTTTGGCATTGTTATTTCTTTAACTGTTTGGAAACTAGATGAAAGATTTAAATAGGTGGGAATGTATTTAGAATTTGGAAGACAATCCCTCCAGACTCAGTCAGTACACAGCTAGTTCATAGCCCAAGACCTCATAGAAGTACAATGAAAATGTCTCACACAGACAAGCAAAGATGTGTGTGACTTTAATATTTTTGTAGGAGAAACATACACCTTGCAAGCATGTGTGAATCACCATAGTGTGCTTATCCTGGGTGTTGCCAAGTGTATCCTTTTTGTTTTTCAAACAGATCCAATGCTGAATAGCTGAAATAAACTGACATGGGGAAAAATATAAAATTCTAATATTTAATTAAAAGGTTATTCTACATTGTTAATGTTATTCATGTAAGAAAAAATAGCTTTATTAATGTAATAGTTTCAGAAGCTGGCATAGGAAAACCTCTGTGATCCAAATGTTATTTAATGATCCAAAATACATCCTAAAGTATTATCACCTAAAGTGCTCCTTTTGAGAATGGGAGATATTGCAACCTGCTATAAGATGAAAGATAGTTCACGTACCACTCTTAAGTCTTACAGAAGTGTAACTTACAGTTTTGCTTTTCAAGTTTCAGTTCTGTATCACTGAGAAGATTGAATTGCCTTAACACACGTTCAATTACTCTGACATGTTATTGAGATAAAAGTCATATCTACTTAGTCATTTACCTAGCATTCACAATTGCTTTTCTTGAATGGAGTTCTCAGCAGCAGAATTTTACTGTGAGATTATATTCAGTTCTTTCCTCAGACAGACGTGTTACAAATCACTTTTTTCTGAAGATTATTTTGTATTTATCTTTGGGATTTTGCACTGAGCATAAGGCACAACTGAGGTTTTAATTCTCCTCTGACAGTAATTGACATTTTTCCCTGTCCAGTCCCTAGACAAATGCAACAATGTAAAAGAAAGAACAGAGGATTATTTTTAGAGGTTCAGAAACTAAAGGAACTGTTTGTTTAGTATTGTTTTCCTATTTTTATATTTCTTTGTAAAGTACAGTAAAAAGGACATTAGCACTTCAGTTTGTTTCCAGTAACTCATTTATCAGTTGGCTGGAAGTACTACTGGGATCTGTGAAATAAGACTGAAGTCTTTCTGTATTGAACATGAATGTAAACACAGTGAAAAGAAAAATACCAAGACCAGTACAACATATTTAATGCAATGTGTTTGCATTTAGATATCAAATATTATTTCAAGAATTCTGAACAAAGTGTGCAAGTTCCAAATATTTTAGATTCTCACATTTCAATAATAATTATAATATTACCCCGCTTGCTTCTACCTTTGAAATAATGCAAAGGTTTCAGAGCCCATGGCCTGCTCCCCATAGGTGGGGAGTAAGCAAGGACACCTTCTGTGTAGGAAGCAGTCAGCAGGAAGTCTGCATGTGACCTAGACACCAGCAGACCCCAATAGCTACAAGGGATAAGCATGCACTCTGGTAACTTATTGCACATCAGAGAGCCTCTTCAGTTGCTGTGAGTCCCTGGGTATACTCGGGTCCTGTCCAGTTCCTTCAGTGACAGAATCTGAACTGTGTAATGAGAGGAAAAGAAAGCACCTTCCTTATGTGTGGTCACTGCAGAGTCTGTGCTGGTTACCTGGGCCATAGGTTAAGGCAGGATAAGGTAAACTAGAAGTAAAAGTATTATTTGTAATATCTAAATATAGTAACGTAATCACATATTTGTAAAACATGGGTGAAGAAATGAAACAAAATCTGTACTTAGTCTACTTACACAAGCATAAATCTACTTAGTCCGAGAGAAATACATGGGTTCCATGGTAGCAGTTGAGGTCTCGGGACTTGTGAAAGTCTCCCTTGGCAAACTGCTGCTGCTAAAGAGAGTCTAACTGGGATTGCCTAATAATTCACATTCAGGCACCCTTTTTTGAAGTAAGCCTTAGATTCAGATTCCTGGGGATTGACTTGAATATGTCTCTCAAGGGGAACATAGTAGTTTTTATGTGTGGTCTTTCTTTTCAAGACTTCTGGGATGTCAGAAGAAATTTATTGTCTCACTCCAAAACTCATTTTATTCCTTCTTTATTCAGAGCACAGTTTTGGAATTCTTCTTAATTAACTTAATGCTTATTTCTCTTCCTCAGATACAGAAGTGCTTTTTTCCCACCTAAACTAGAAATTGTGTCTTCCATGTCCTCTCTCTCCTCCAGTGAATCACTGGCACATCTGTCACTGTACCTTACATTCAGTATTATTCTAAATGTTAACAATGTAAAGGAAACAAACATTTGAGTAGAATAAATGTCCATGGTTCATTACTGGCTGCTGAGTGGTTTGAAGTGATAGCTGTTTAGGGTTGACTATCCTGAAGCCTGCTGTAAGAAAACTGTGATCAGAGTTAGACTGTGGTCAGAGTGTTACAACAAAGGTGATTACCCCTTGTGTGGTATCAACAGCATGCTGATTTCATGTTCAATTTGTTGATCTGTACTGACCATCAGATCCTTTCCAGTGGATTGCAGTCTAATAAGCAACCTTCATCTTTGTGTTTGTGCACATGTCCTTTGCCGAATTATATCCTAATTTGGTTCAGAACCTTTTTCTCTTTTGGCCATGGGCATTTTTGTTTCCAGCATGTGGCCAATGATGGCCCTTCCCAGCTTCATGCTGTCTATGGAAGGAAGAAGCATCTCCCTTGTTCCAGTCTCTGGGAGGGCAACTGAGATATGGGATTGGAACAAACTAAGAACACATCATGGGGAGCCTCTCTCCATGTACCTTTTATTGGGCAATGAATTAAAGTTGTGCCCTGTATATTCTCTATACGTTAGACTGTGTTGCTTAAGAACATTCAGTAGCTTTAAAGGAGTTGTGAAGTTAAAATATGGGTATATCCAGACATGCTATTTATAGTGTAGTTCTTGGCATTTCTCCTTGGAGACCTGTATTCCTCTGATCTTCCTGAGGGTAACCTTTAAGTGTTGTAGTGATTTGTATCACTCCTCTAGCAGTTAAGCAGGGCTAGAAGCACTTAGGTGTGTGTTATGTGTGATAGCACAAATTCTGCGTAGGTCCATCTACAGTTAGGGTTTCAGCCCTTGGGGGAGCTTTATGACAATCCTTTCACAACAAATTAGTTGAAATTGCATGCTGTCAATTTCTTCTTATCACACCTGAAAAAAGTCTCTTACGAATGTGGTTGAGTCCCATTAGAGAAGGATGCCTGGTGCATTTTCTGCTCCATCCTTACTTAGGTATTTATGGATCATGTGTATGTGATTACGTTGGTTCCCTCCACTTTTCCCTCTACAAGGCTCCTTTTCTCCACCTACAAATCTGCTACGCAGACAGAAGAGGTCTTCCTTTCAAGTAACAGGTTCTTGGCAAATAACACCTTATGCAGACAGCCTTGACTGGTGGGAGTGATAATGATAAATACTGCTGAAGTGAGTGTGTTGTAAAAATGTATGAAGAAAATTGAAAATACCGTAACATGGCAATTCAACCATAACTTGATCTCAGAAAATATATATGAAGGTACAGTTAGAGGAAAATTGCACTTTTCCCTTTATAGTAGCATGCTAGACAAAGCTTTGTCAAAAGGTCACTCAGAGCTTTTTATATCTCATATGCATCTACAGTCTCTGTGAATGGTTTGCAGCTTTTGCAGAAGCCTTCTTCTGTGTAAGAATTTGCTGCTTATAATTTGAGAGTTGAAAAATGACTTCCAGAAATTGTTCATTTTATTAGCTTTAGAGGGACGAGAATAAGCTTGAAAATCGAGTTTGTGGCTGAAAACCTGGAGGTTTTGAGTCCCAGTGCTTTTATTAGAGTACATATATAGTGAGCTGTTTATGAAGCTGTTATTGATGTATTCCTGAATGTTGTTTATTTGTCCCAAGAGTGGCTCTCATTCTGTATATAACTCTAGAGTAATTCACCTGTCATAAAAATATCAAACTGTGTCACTGTTTCACTGATTTCACTGATTTTTGTATGTCTGAAATAAAACGTTTTCCTAGTGTTTCGGTGACTGTTGCCTATAGAACACATGGAAGCACACAGATCAAGAGTTAATTGGCTGAGGAGTGATCAATGTTTCACTGTTTTGCGCTCTCTTTAAGCTGATTTCTGTATATCTGGAATGATTAATGAGTGGGTGTGATTGTAAAAGGATGGTGAAGGATCTGGTTTATCTCAGATAATTTTTTTTTCCTGTTCACTTCTTGAATTATTTCCTGGTATTGAGTTAAGAGAACTGACACCACAGAGAGGCTAGGTTGCCTTAAAAGACATGACTGAGGAGTCAGGCAAAAATTTTTAAAAGATTCAGTCTGATGCTAATCACGGTTTTGAGACAGGA